CGGCGGGGCCGCGCGGCGCATCCTGCGGGCGGCGGCGGCGGCGGCGGCGGCGGGCGCGGCGCCGGCAGTCGGGCGCAAGATGATGAAGTTTCGGTTCCGGCGGCAGGGCGCCGACCCGCAGCGCGAGAAGCTCAAGCAGGAGCTTTTCGCCTTCAACAAGGTGCGGCTGCGGCGCGGGCGCGGGCGCGGGCTCGGGTGGGAGGGGGCGGGCCGGGGGCCCGGGCTGGGGACCCGGGGTCGGAGCCACGTCGGGCCCGGGGGGCGGGGGCTGGCATGCAGCGCGGCGCGGGGCGGGGGCTGGGCCGGGCCGCGCACCCCCTCCTCGGGCCCAGCTCTGGCTCGGACTCTGGGTGGGTCTGGGTCTCCGGCCGACTTTCCGTGCCTGCTCCCGAGTCTCTGCGGGCCGCTCTGGCCCTGGGTCTGCCAGTCTCTGTGTGTCTGGGTCTCTCTGTCTCTGAGACTCTTTGCCTGTCTTTGGGTCTCTGCCCCACTTTGTCCGTCGCTGACCGGCTTCCTCGCCCCAGTTGTGCCTGTGTGTGTGGTGGGGGTGTCTCTGCCTCTGCCCCTTCCTATCTTTGCCTGTCTCCCTTTATCTCTCTGCCTCTCATTTCTCTTTCTGCCTCTGCGTCTCTGAGTCTTTGCCTGTCTCTCCCTGCGTCTCTCTCTCTCTCTCTCTCTCTCTCTCTCTCTCTCTCTCTCTCTCTGTGGAGTCTCTCGACCTGTTCTCTGTCGCTCACTCTCTGTCTCTTTATCCTTTTTCTTTGGGGCTCCTTTGCGTCCCTGCTCGGCCCTTGGGACAGCCGTGGGCCCCGGTTTGTTTTGTGCTTTGGCATGCAGGAGGGCGAGAGAGTTAGTGGGGACAAGGCAGCTGTGGGGGGTGCGGCTGGGAAATCCCTTCAAGGAGCCTCTCCTTCCTCACCCCACTGCTCCAGGCTCTGCCTTGCCCTGCTCTCCCCTGCCCTGCCCGGGGCCCCGAGTCCAGGGGACATGCCTGGCTGTGTACTGCACTGCCCTTCACATCGTGGGGCCTCAGTTTCCCTAGCTGTGAAATGAGGCTACTTTTCTCCTTACTGTGGGCCCTGGCTCCCTCTGCCACATGGGCCAGCTGTCCTGCTGCTCCGCACCAAGGTGGAGTGAGGTGGAGGCTTTTCCTTCCTTTCCCCAAGTGGGACACTAGGGGCCAGGGAAAGGGGCCGCCTCAGCCCCCGCCTCCCTATGCACTGATGTTAGAGCAGGGCCTCAGCCTGCTCCTGGCTCACTCCTCTGGGGGCGTTGGTTTTGTCCTCATTCTTACCCCAGAGCCCACGGATCGCAGAGCCTCTCAGTGCTCTTCGAAATTAGAGTTATCTTCAAAATACAGGTGAGAAAATTGAGGTTCTGAGAGGGGTGACGGCTTGCCCAGAGTCAGAGTGAGCTGCACCAATATCTTTCTCGAGTTCCTGTGTCAGTGGGGTTGGATTTTAGCCTTGAGGGGCAGGGATTTTTCCAAGGGGCTGCTGTGGTCCTGGGCCAGTGTTGTGCCAGGTGCCCTGGGCTGCCTTGAGGAGACCCTTGTCTTGGAGGAGGCTCTGGGACAGTTGGACCTGGAGTAGCAGAGGCACTGGGATGTCTCAGGGTTTCCCTGCCTAGGTCTGCAGTGGTTGCCGGTGAGAGCTGCCAGGACCTTCACAGGGTGGCTGAGAACCTGCCAGGAACCTGAGAGGGGGCCCAGAGGGGAAGCTGGTGCTCCGTGGTCTCCAGATGGTGCCTGTTTTCTGTGCTGGGGAGGCTATGAGAGTTAGGTGAGAGGAGAATGGCCCTTCAGGGAAAGGCAGCAACAGGCTCAGGGCTAAATGTCACTTTTTTTTTGAGACGTGGTCTCACTCTCACCCAGGCTGAAGTGCAGTGGCACAGTCCCAGCCCACTGCAGCCTCAACCTCCCTGGCTCAGGTGATCCTCCCACCTCAGCCTCCTGAGTAGCTGGGACTACAGGCTCATGTCGCCATGCCCGGCTAGTTTTTGTATTTTTTGTAGAGGTGCGGTTTTACCATGTTGCCGAGAATGGTCTCGAACTCCTGGGCTCAAGCTATCTATCCATCCATGTTGGCTTCCCAAAGTGCTAGGATTACAGGCATGAGCTACCATGCCTGGCCTAAATGTCATTTCTTCAGCCAGTAAATTGGGGTGTGCAGCGGGGACTGGAGACAGATGGGAATGAAGCTCAGCCCGCTCTGTCTAGCCTTGGGGTGGTGGGAAGTAAGGGCCCTCCACTGAGGATGAAGTGTGGGCAGCAGTGGTGGAAAGTGGGGTGGTCTTGGGGAAGGGACTTAGTCACCTAAGTGGGTCATAGGGGATCGCTAGGGAATAGGCCCCTGATTCCTGAGTTTGGGGGGTGGGAGACAGGTCAGGAGTGAGCAGGGACTTTGGACTCCGAGTCTTGGGTTCAAATCCCAGTCCAGCCCATATGTCGCCTGTGGAGTGTGCCTTCTCTGTTAATACTGAGCCCCACTGTGTGTGAGGTCTCCAAGGTTCTGGGGACAACAGTAGTTATCAAAAAGGACAAATATGTCTTAACTCAGGCGGCTGATATGCTAATGCAGGAGACAGTGAAAAGCCAAAACAAAAAAATAGAATAGATAGTAGTTGGGATGTTAGCCAGTGCTGTGGATCAAATAAAGCAGGGCGAGGGGGAGGGAGGTGTGGCCAGGGCGGCTGCTGCAGCCAGGGTGGCTTAGGGAGGCTTCTCTGAGGAGATGACTCCTGAGCGACAGGAAGTGCTGGAGGAAGTGCATGCCAGGCAGAGGGGCAGTAGGTGCAAAGGCCCTGAGGCACAAGCCTCCCTTAGCTGGGAACCCCAGGAGGATCCTGAGCAGGGGAGGGACGAGGATCTGGCTGTGGCTTTCATAGGATCCCTCTGGCTTCTGTGTGGGAACAGACTGTAGTGAGCACCAATCCAGGTGAGTGACAGTGGGGCCTGGAGCAGGGAGGGGGGTGACTTCTGTGTGTTTTGAAACTGAGTTGATGGGGCTCAGAAATGGGCTGGGCGTGGGGTATGAGGGAAGCAGATGGTGGACAGTGCATATAACCTCCTTTCCTCTTCTGTAAAGAGGGAAGGCTGTGGGGATTTGTGATGCGATGTCCCGTCTGTGGATCCTGGTTGTAGCAAGGGACTGGCTAGACAAGGTCAGGTGCAGCAAGGGTGTGGCATTATTGGTGGGAGAGAGAAGCCCCAGCCAAATGGCCAACTCTGTCCTTAGTTGGGCTTACTGTCCCCAGGGCCCTTATGAGAGACTGAGGCTTGGAGAGTACTGTGACTTGCCCAAGGCCAGACAGCTAGGCCATGACCGAACCAGCTGCCCAGAGGGCTCAGTCCCCACCTGGATGGGCGGAGACAGGCAGGGAGGGAGGTTGGGGTTACAGGCTGGGAACTGGGGTTTCTTACAAATGTGTGTCTTCCTGAGGCAGTGGGTCAGGAATTACCAGTGGTAAAAGTAAAAAATAAATAAATAACAACAACAACAAAATAAAAGGAGGTACCATTGGCCCACATGGGTGTCCTATACTGGTGTTCAGGATGGGGCTGGAGCTCAGCTGTGCAGGCTTCCCAGGGAGAGCACAGCCAGGCCAAAGACAGGAGACCGGTACAGAAGGGCCTGCGCTGTGAAAGGGGCAGGGGAGCGGGTGGGAAGCTGTTCCATCGACACTCTGGGCACACAAACCCTCTTAACACCACCTCTGCCGCTGATGGGCGTGGGAGTCATGTTGCCTAGCTGTTGGCAGGTGGGGAGGCGGGAAGATGCCTTCAGGGTCCAGGCAGAAAGCTGCCCCTCTCTGGGCCTCCATCTCCCTCTGTCTGGGAGGAGTCAAAAGCCTCTGCCTAGCTGATCCTGGGTGTTGTCCCTTGACCTCTGACCTCCACTCAGGCCTGTGTTTGGGGAGTGTCATGGACATCATGTGGGACTCCTCAAGCTTTAGTCTGTGCCTCTAAGAATGGGGTGCGGAGCCCTTCACGGAGCAAGTGGGGCCTCGTCAGTGCCTGCATCTCTGTGAGCCTTGCTTCACCTGTTTGTTGCTGGAGCCTCCATGCAGTGGGGTCTACATGAGCCCGTGTGCATTGAGGGGCATGGGGGCGTGGCGAGGGGGGGGCCTCTGTGGGTCATGCGCGCGGTAGAGTCATGATGGAGCCCAGGGGTTTAGCCACCTCCCCACCAACTGGAGGCATGATAACCCATTTCACAGTTGAGGGTGCTGAGGCACAGAGCAAGTAGACCTGCCTCCTACCCGCAGTGTGTCAGCTGCAGACCCTGGAGGCTGCCTTGGGGTGGGCCTCAGGGTGGGCCACGGCAGAGGTGCCTGGGAGTGCTTACCCCCAGCAGCGTTCCCCTCCTCACAGACGGTGGAGCATGGCTTTCCCAATCAGCCCAGCGCCCTGGCCTTCGACCCTGAACTTCGCATCATGGCCATTGGCACCAGGTCTGGGGCTGTCAAGATGTATCCTTTGCAGGCTAGGTGTTCAGGTCTGTTCAGGACCACCTGCCTGTAGTTCCTGTGTTCTGGGGTCCCGGTCTTGGCAGCGTCCAGCTCGAGAGTAGAACAGAGGTGCTCTGCTGGGCAGTAGTGGGGGCTTCTGTGGGCGCTACAGTAAGTGCTGGGATCTTGGTGGAGGTTGGCGTGGCTTCTGTACCTGAGATGACTGTGCAGAGATGATGGGGTCCTTTTGCTGAGAGACGGGTGGTCAGTTTGCAGTAGCACAGCTGTCCCTTGCTACGTGTCAGCCAGCCAGTTACCTAGGCGACCCTGCCATCATCCCAGCAACTCTGGGGAGGCCAGGCAGGGGGGCTGGGCTGTGATACCCATGGAGGATGGCAGGTGGGCTGGGGCCCTGGTGAGCCAATGCACACACGTGTGAATGTGAAGACACATGTGTTCAGCCAAGGGGGCTGGGGGCAGTGCCAGGCTCGGCATGGTGAGTGCAGCACGGCCCCCACCTGGATCCTGGCTGCTGCACAATGGGCTGTGTGAGCCACACAAAGCGGGCATTTTCCCTGCAGGCCCGGGGTGGGGGTGGGAGGCAGGCCAGCAGCTCAGTGTCTCTGTGCTGGCCCTGGAGAATCCCACCCCAACTGCTCTTGGGGAAGCCGAGGTGCCAGGGTCTGGCTGATGGCGACTTCGTGAGGGGTGCTGACCCCTACCCCTCCTGTGTGGCCCTCTGAGTTTCAGTATCCTGGTTTCGGACATCAGTTCCCAGAAAATGTGTCAATGCCGGGAAAGGGGAGGGTGTGGGATGGGGGTCTCCTCACCCCAGGGGTGGGAGTCTGAGCCTGTGGTTTGTGAGCTCTTTGCCTACTCTGGGGAGTGCGGATGGGCTGAGATGTCCCCTTCTCTCCCATGGCCCTAGCAGCACCTGTGGGTGAGTAGGGCAGTACTCTGGGCCCGACATGCCCCACTGCCTGGCCTGCTGCTCCCACTCCTGTGGGTGCTGCGCTGCCATCCGCACATGTATCCCTGCAGCCTTCACGTGTCCCTCCTGTGTTGGGGTCTCCTGTGCTCTTGTCCTCAGGCTCAAAAAGAACCTGAAGTGCAGATGAGGAGACTGAGCCTCAGAAAGGAGGCTGGAGCTCGGGGTCCTCTTCCCTTCTTCCCCTGACCACCACTGCCTGGAGCCCCTCGGGTTGGGAAACTGAGGCTGGAGAGGGCCAGCCCTGGTCATTAGAAGCTGCCCCTCCCCCTGCCAGACCGGCCCCATCTCCTTGACGACCCTGGTTCCCGCCCAGCTGCTCCTGTCCCTTCTTTTGTCCCTTCTTCAGAGTTTCTCGCCAGGCTCCTGTAGGGAATCCCAGCTCAAGCTCCAGGCAACGGCTCCTGTGTTGTCACCGGGGCAACGTTGCTGACTCCTCCCTGCACCCTCTGTCCTGGGGCCCTTTCAGGCCCTGCTGTCCACCATCAGCCCTGGAGTTGCCGGGACTGAGGCACTGACACTGGGCACTTCAAGCAGGTCACCCACGCCCTCCGAGTCTCTGTGTGCTCATCTGTTAAATGGGCAGGCTGGGGTCTCTCCTCCCTCAAGGTGGCAGTTGTTGGCTGCCTGCCCTGGAGGGAGGTGGGTTTTCTTTTTTGTTGTTGTGTTTTTGAGACAGAGTCTCACTCTTTGTCGCCCAGGCTGGAGTGCAGTGGCACAATTTCGGCTCACTGCAGCCTTTGCCTCCTGGAGTCAAGCAATTCTCTGCCGCAGCCTCCCAAATAGCTGGGATTACAGGCGCCTGCCAGCATGCCTGGCTACTTTTTGCATTTTTAATAGAGACGAGGTTTCACCATCTTGGCCAGGCTGGTCCTCAACTCCAGACCTTGTGATCCACCCGCCTCAGCCTCCCAGAGTGCTGGGATTACAGGAGTGAGCCACTGCGCCCGGCGGAGGTGGGTTTTCTTACCCATGGCTGAAGTTTGGCCTGAAGCTATGGGAAAAGACAGTCTGGACTCTCTTGCTCCCTGGCTTTCTTGTCCAGGCCTTGCACCTCTGGCCTTCCTGATCCCATCTGGCAAGGCGCAGCTCCCAGAGCCCATAGAAACGTGGGGCTGAAGTGGAGCGGAGCCCCAGCCTCTCACCAGGCTGAGGCCGAGCCTGCTGGGTGTGTTTGTTCTCACTGGATCTGCAACAGCCCTGTAAGGTGGGCGTCACTGGCCCGGTTTACCGGAACTGAAGGTCCTATAGCAGCACCCGACTTGCAAGAGTGAGTGGAGCCTGCACGCCGATCTTAGGGATACTGTAGGGGTGCAGGGTGGGAGCTTTAGGGAGGGGGCCTCCGTTCTTCAGGGAGGCCTCCTGGATGGGCAGGCCCATGCCGGGGTCCACTGGAATACTCCGGGTTAAGGAGGAGCCTTGGGTATCTCACTCGCCGTGGTTTGCTGGTCCATGCCTGTTTCCACCTTGACCTGCCACCCTCAGCTATGGTGCACCTGGCGTGGAGTTCACAGGCCTGCACCGGGATGCAGCCACCGTCACACAGATGCACTTCTTGCCCGGCCAGGTGAGCCTCTGCTTCCCACTGGCCAGCTCCCTGTGGCCCCCATATCTACTCACCCTCCTAGGCCAGCCTAGTTTTCATCTCTGCTCACACACCAGGGCCGCCTCCTGACCCTGCTTGATGACAGCAGCCTGCATCTCTGGGAGATTGTCCACCATAATGGCTGTGCCCACCTGGAAGAGGCACTCAGCTTCCAGCTGCCCAGCCGGCCCGGCTTTGATGGTGCCAGGTACCAGAGAACTTGGCTGGGGCCAGCCACTGGGCAGGGAGGATCTGGGGGAGTCTGTGGGAACCTGCTGTGCAGAGGCAGCATGGAGACAGGCAGCTGCCAGTGGGGGCTGTGGTTCAGGGCAGGATGCCTTGAGCTGGGCCTAGGTCCCAGGCTGCGGCTATTGGACCCTGCTTTACTGAGGTATACTCTGTGAACTTTTCAGGTTAAATGGGAGGTTTGGGTTGAGTCCAACATGAGCAGGTAATTAGCATTGTGAGCAGCAGGAGGTACATGCATTATATGCCAAACTCCTAGGACCTGAGGCCTGGCACTACACTTACTGCAGTGATGGGGGTGTCTAGGGGTTTGGGGCAGGGCCTAAGCCAGTTAGTAATAGCGAGGGTTCCCTGGCCCCTTCAGTTGTGGGTGGGAGACAGGCCTTTCTGTGCACAGGTGAAAGGGCAGGGTTGAGGGCAAGGAGGGTCCCACGGGCTGTGCTTGGTAAGGTGCTGGCAGCATGCCCCAGCTGGGTGAGAGTATGGGGAGTCTCTCCCCCCAGCCCTGCCTGAAATAGCTGGAAAAGGGGAGTCCTAACCCAGGGATGGATTCCTGATGCCTCCCAGCTTCTGCAGATGAGGGTTATCTGGGGCCCTCCTGTGAAGTCAGGAGATGTCTGAGGGCTGGCAGGGGGATTCCTAGGAGGGGCTCAGCAGGGAGATCCTAGTCCTGGCTTGGGCAATGCCGTGGTTCCTGCTGTCCTCTCCTGGTGGGTGGGAGGAGCTGGGAGCCCAGTCTGCAAGACCTGGGGAACCTATTTTTATCTGTCTCCCTGCTGACATCCTTATGAATAATTGAGCGGGCTGATATGACGCATGTCTTCCTGGGGTGGCTCTGTAAGTAGGCCCTAGTGAGCGCTGTGGGGCCAGTGATGAGTTATCAGCAGTGGCCCAGCTCCTCACACCCCACCTCACCAGGTGGATGGGCTTGCACCCTCACTCCCTTTCCCTTGTTCCCTGCAGCGCTCCGCTCAGCCTTATCCGAGTCACAGTGGTCCTGCTGGTGGCTGCCGGCGACATAGCAGCCCTGGGCACTGAGGGCAGCAGTGTCTTCTTCCTGGATGTTACCACCCTGACCCTGCTCGAGGGGCAGACGCTTGCCCCAGGCGAGGTTCTGCGCAGGTGAGAGGCCGGTGGGCTTCCCAGCACACACTCTGTGCCCAGGAGGTTCTACTGGCTCACCTGCCTTCCTCCACAGCGTGCCAGATGACTACCGCTGTGGGAAGGCGCTGGGCCCCGTGGAGTCACTCCAGGGACACCTGCGGGACCCCACAAAGATTCTCATTGGCTACAGCCGGGGCCTGCTGGTCATCTGGAACCAGGCCTCGCAGTGTGTGGACCACGTCTTCCTGGGGAACCAGGTATGTGGGTGAGGCCAGTGTCCCCTCAGCCTGGGCCCCTAGTGCGTGCCCACCATGGCTCATGCCTGCCTGCCTGCCCCTGCCTGCCCACAGCAGCTGGAGAGCCTATGCTGGGGGCGTGATAGCAGCACTGTGGTCAGCTCACACAGTGATGGCAGCTATGCTGTCTGGTCTGTGGATGCCGGCAGCTCCCCAACGCTGCAGCCCACGGTAGCCACCACACCTTACGGTGAGTGCCGGGGAGGCCTTAGCCAGAGGGTGGTGATGGGAGGGGGCACCACTGAGCCAAGCCAAACTGGCTGAGGAGTGACTCCCCCGAGGGGGTGGTCTGGTGGCAGTGCCTCCCGCCGACTTCCTGGGGAGGCAGGAGGCAGCTGCAAGGTAGAGAGCAGTGGAGGGCAGAGCAGGAATGGCAGAATTGCTAAGAACCACCAGCGAGTCTGGTCTGACGCTGTCCCACCCCTCAGGCCCCTTTCCCTGCAAGGCCATTAACAAGATTCTGTGGCGGACCTGTGAGTCTGGGTAGGTCAGGGGAGCGGGTGTCCGACGTGAGCCGCGTCTGGCTAGGGGGCTGGAAGGGTGGGCTCTTCCTGGGTTGTGCAGTATGTGCTTGGGACCCAAGTGGTTCATGGCTCACACAACTCTCTGCATACAGGGGCCACTTTATCATCTTCAGCGGTGGCATGCCCCGTGCCAGCTATGGTGACCGCCACTGTGTAAGTGTGCTTCGAGCCGAGACATTGGTGACGCTGGACTTCACCTCCCGCATCATCGACTTCTTCACAGTGCACAGCACGCGGCCTGAGGATGGTGTGTGCCCTGCCGTACCCTACCCTTTCCCAGCCCCACCTGGTGCCCTCTGCCACCTATGACTGTGCTCACCCCATACCCGCTCCATCCAACAGAATTTGATGACCCCCAGGCCCTGGCTGTGCTGCTGGAAGAGGAGCTGGTGGTGCTGGACCTGCAGACTCCTGGCTGGCCAGCTGTGCCTGCCCCATACCTGGCCCCGCTGCACTCATCTGCAATCACTTGCTCGGCCCACGTGGCCAATGTGCCCGCCAAGCTGTGGGCCCGCATTGTGAGCGCTGGCGAGCAGCAGAGCCCCCAGCCTGTCTCCAGTGCCTTGGTGTGTGTGGGGATCAGGGGGGTCTTACAGGGTGGAGTCTTGAGGAGGGGGAGAGTGTTTCACTTCTAAGCGTGGAGGTCAGAATGTGCCATGCTCGGGGTGGAAGGGAGAAGATGTTTGTCCTAACCTTGTGCACACATCTCTGCACCCCCTCCCAGAGCTGGCCCATCACTGGGGGCCGAAACCTGGCCCAGGAGCCATCTCAGCGAGGGTTGCTGCTGACCGGGTAGGTGTGCGTGCTTATGTGGGTGAGTGGGCTCCTTGCTGTTGGGAGAGAACCCATCCTGGGCCTGGTGGGTGCAGAGGTGCCAGGAGACTCAGGCCTGGCCCCTAGTGGGACCAGGTAGTTCCTCCTCGCCCAAGGTGGATTGGAATGAAACCTCTCTGGACCTTGGTTCAAGTTGCTGCCCTGATCTGCCTTTTGGCCTGGAACTGAGCTCTACCAAACCCCAGGGCTCCACCCGCCCAGCCTGCCTGCCCTGGGACTGGAAAATCTGGGCTGGCCCACGCTGAACTGCCCAGGGAAGGTGCCAGAGAGCCCAGCCTGGGCCTGGCGGGCGCTGACGTGCCCGGTGACTCAGACCTTAACTTCCTGCCCTGCCCCTACTCCCGCCTGTGCTGGGACCCTCAGGCCTCTGACTCCAGTGTGCCCTTCCCTGCTGAAGAGCTTGCTGTGGCTTTCAGGGCTGCCAGAGTGAGTCTTAACCACCCCACAGTCACACACCTCTCACACCCACCCCACAGTCAC